ATGTATATGTATATGTATATGTATATGTATATGTATATGTATATGTATATGTATATGTATATGTATATGTATATGTATATACATACATACATGTGTATGTATGTATGTATGTATGTATGTATATGTATATACATACATACATAGATACATACATACATATATTACATACATATATATCTATTCTTACCACCACCACCATACCTTTATTATATATCTCATATACCTTTATACCTATATATATATATGTATATACCTTTAATATATACCTCAAACCTGTGTCACCCTTTCTTATTTAATAATAAATTGGATTTGACCTCATTGTTGATCCCAGTTCTCATTCCCAGACACCCATGCCTACACTTTACAGTAAGGTTGAGACAGTTTTATCCCCCCCCCCCATAAAACCCAGCCTTTGGGTTTGTTTTTTTTAGCACAAAAACCAACAAACCAATGAACACAAACCATACATCACCTATTGTTGTCCAATCACTAGACTAGCTGGGATTTTATATCACTAAAAGCAAAGATTTAACCAAAGTTTTTGGAATGTACTACAGTTAGTTGAGATCACACTGTGATCAAGCCACAGTAGTAGCTAAGCTCACCTACCAACAATGTTTAAAAATGGCAAGATTTCTGGAAACATCCATATACTTTTTTTGGCAACTATTTGGAAGTCGTTTGCCTTCTAGGATTTATTTTTTTGTAATTTTCCAGTGTAGCCTACACCCTTGTTTTCCCATCCAAGTATTATCCTGGTTTAACTGACCCTGTGGAGCTCTTTTGAGATCAGCCAAGGTTAACAGGATGCAGCTCCCTCATTGGGCACATCAACCGACTAAATAAATAAATGTGATTTGTTTGTTTGTTTAACAAATTTATCCCTCCTTTGGGATCACTTTGCAGGTTTATGAATAAATAAATAGCACTATTTTGGCAAGGTGATGTATCTCCTCTGACTGATGGACACTTTTTCCTATGCTACGCTACGCAAGATTTTTCAACTGGAAATTCTACCAACAGATTTGTTGAAGACTTGCTTGTTTTCTTAAAAGCCATGCATTTGCTTTTGAGTCTTCTAAAGATGCAATATGAGAAAGGCATCACGAACCTTCCAAATTCTAGACTTTAGAGACTGTCTATACTTTGCTTGAGTGGTGGCTCAATGGCTAAGATGCTGAGCTTGTCGATCAGAAAGGTCAACAGTTCGTCAGTTCGAATCCCTAGCACCACGTAACGCAGTGAGCTCCCATTACATGTCCCAGCTTCTGCCAACCTAGCAGTTCGAAAGCACGTAAAAATCCAAGTAGAAAAATAGGGACCACCTTTGGTGGGAAGGTTACAGAGTTCCGTGTGCCTTCGGTGTTTAGTCATGCCAGCCACATGGCCACAGAGACATCTTCAGACAGCGCTAGCTTTTCGGCTTTGAAACGGAGATGAGCACCACCTCCTAGAGTCAGGAACGACTAGCACATATGTGCGAGGAGAACCTTTACCTTATTTTTTGCTTATCTCAAGCAACTGATTCCTGCCATTATCTAAATTCTTACTAGATATATTTTGGGGATGGGCGGATAGGGAGGTACATACTGGAAAAGACACGGAGGTCAAATCAAAACATGGCAAATATTCCAGTTCAAAGCATTATGTCCACCTCCAAGAATTAGTTGCCACCATCTCTGCCAATGAATCTCCCCGCCCCGCCGGGTCTTACACAATCCCAGCAGCTGTTTTCAGACTGGTTTTGGCAATTATTGAACTCAAATGATCCTACTGCGTTGTCAGTAAATCTGACATGGTTGAGCAATAGCCATTGAGTGGAATTCCAGAGAAAGTAGTGCAAGATCTTATTTTGTTTTATTTTGTTTGTTCACTTTTGAACCTGTGTGCTTTGGTAGGAATTCAGATTTTTTTAACTGAAGTAAGAGTGATTAATCTGGGCAGAGTTGTCTGAGTTGACATATTGTACTGCTCTCTAAGAAGCCAAGAACAAACAACCCTCATGCTTGCCAGGACTAAGGTAACGTCTAATGGTCATGAGGAGGAGGAAGAGGAAGCAACAATGCACAACCTTTCCTCTTTAGTAACAGAGGGTGCTTACACATGCAGCTGAACTCTGAAAGTGTTCAAATAAATGCACAATTATAGATAGATAGATAGATAGATAGATAGATAGATAGATAGATAGATAGATAGATAGATAGATAGATAGATAGATAAATATAGAGAAAGAAAGAAAGA